CGGATATCACAGTTTAACATGCTTTTGAAGGTTAGCCTGGGAACCTAACCACCAAAACTTTGTTTCTACAGAAAAATACAAGTGCATGCCTGCATTTCTGGGATGAGGCTGCAGAAGTTCCTGGCAGCATCAGGGATGAGTCAGGTATTCCTATCCTGGGAACTGCCTAGGATATTTTAGCAGCCCTCTCACTCTGGACTAAAATATCCAGAATTGGACTCTATCAAAACTTTCTCTTTTGTCAGTCAGCAATACAGTAATACACATTAGGAGACTTTAAAGAAAACCTTGATTTATTAAGTTATCCTTCAATGATGGCTGTTTAAATTATACTTAAATAGCAACCTGGAAGACTAGTGGTTACCAAAGGGGAGGGGTGTGGGAGGGTGGGTGGAGAGGGAGGGAGAAGGAGATTGAGGGATATTATGTTTAGTACACATGGTGTGGGGGATCACAGGGAGAACAGTGTAGCACAGAGAAGGCACATAGTGGATTTGTGGCATCTTGCTGCACTGATGGACAGTGACTGCATTGGGGTATGGGTGGGGACTTGATAATATGGGTAAATGTAGTAACCACATTGCTTTTTCATGTGAAAACTTCATAAGAGTGTATATCAATAATACCTCAATAAAAAATTAAACAAAAAAATAGCAACCTGGAAGAACCAAAGAAAGTTTCCCAATTCAATGAACCTTTGTAAAACAAAGAATCATTTTCTAATAAAAAAAATTTTTTTTTAACTTTCCAGAGATTTCAAGAATTTTATCTTTTGGAGTAAGAAGGTATGTCTGTTTTCCAAGATAGAGCTAATTCAAACAGCCATCTTCAACCAACCACTTATTATGTTAAAGTTCCCAATACTCCAAGGACTATCTTCTAATATGTTTCATCATTCTGACTGTAATCCATTCAATCCTTACCTCTTATAATATTAATGTAATATATGGTATTACACTTCTAGTACAGTATTTTTAAATAATTTTTTTAAATTTAGTATTATCAGTGTTACAACTCCTTTCTTATATCCTTAAGTATCATCCTCTGGTAATCTCCTAACCTTAGACATTCTGAAAGTATGTAGTCTACAGAAAGATGATTCATAACATGAAACAGATCATAATGAAGGGTAAAATGTAAATTTGTACTATGGGATCAATGTATCTACTAAACTGATTTTCCCTACAATCTCACACATAAACAATTAAAACCTCAGCAAAAAAAGTTAATTAGCAGTTTACAAAAAACTTAACCTTGCCCAGCTACATAAAGCAATACCTTGAAACTTTTAAAAAGACAGAAAGTATGGTTTAAGTGATTTAATCTTTATACTCCCAATTACTAAGAGAACCTCAATCTTATTTTTAATTCACACTTTAAACTAGAACTTAACAACCTATCAAAAAAGTGTGTTTTTTAAAAATTTGAGCTAATCACCAAAAGTCTGGATTTGTGGCTTCCCTTTAAAAAAAAAAAAGCAAGATCTGGCAATCCTGGGCTGTAGATCCCAGCAACAGCAACATTTGGAGGGAGCTGGGTAGCAGCCGCCCTCTTTTGATAGCACATTCAATTTCTAGTTTCCCTGAATTTTGTTTGCTCACTTAGTCGCTGCTATTAGAGTTTGAAATTTTTTTTTTTTACTTCATTTTTTGTGTCTTGAAGGGTCTTAAAAGAAGCCATAAAAATATTGTAGAAACACCATTTTTTTTCATTTTTTATTAATACCACATCAACTTGCAGTTTCACAGGAACCAAGATTCAAGTTCTTTAGGTGCTATTGTATTTTTATGTTGCATGCCCATACATGCACCCAGAGTTTCATTAGTAATTTTTCACCTATAGGTTATTCTATTAAAAAAAAAAGAAATCCTGTAAGGCACAAATATCCAGCCAATTATCTAAACACAGAAGAAACAAAACAAAAGAGGTAGGTGTGAAGGCTGAAAGTGCGGAAAAAAATCTAGTGATGATTCAGGCATTAAAGCTACGTATCCCAAATGTACAATACAACTAGCAGGACACCACTAAAATGTACAAGGCACTATTACTGTTAAGAGATTTTAGTATTCTAACTTTGGTCTGTCTGCAACTTCTCAAACAATCAAGATATTCAAGTTTTACCCTTTTATCCAAGAATAAAGAAGTTAACCCTGCATAACGGCACCAAAAAGCCTCCTCCATCTGTAAAACACAAGAAAAACAGGAAGCAAGAAAGGTCTCTGATGAGCCAAAGAGGCCACACAGCTCACAGAATACATGAAGCCCTCTTCACTCAGAGCCTACTTGGTCTTATTTTAGACATAATTTTAATAAGTTCCCTGATCTGGTTTCCCAGCCCACAACAGATGAGATGCAGCCAACTAGAGAAGGGCTGGGGGTGGTGCTGCTAGAAACACTCAAAGCATCAAAATTAAAGCTGAAGACCTATAAAGTCAGCAGAAAACCTCAAAACTAACAGGCTGGGACCAGTTGGTATAGATACAAACAGACCCAAAGGGTCCCAATCCCTGCAACAGAACTATACTGGATGCTTATAATGACCCTCCTTCTGTGGTACACTCTGTAGAGCACGGGAGGTCAGGAGACCTTAAAGTGTGTATCATAAAATCCATCAAAAGCTTTTCCCAAAAAGAGACATGGCATTTAAAAGACTGTCAAATTCACAGAACACTATTTCCCTCTGACAAAAAACCAAGATACTGAATTCCTAAAGATGCTACACGTCAAATGTATTTATTCTTAAAATTTTACTGGAACACAGATGCAGCTCATGATATCTAAAGCTGAAAGGGTGTAAGTAGAACAACTTTTTCAGAGAATAACTGGGGAGGTTCAAGACCAAGATTATATAAGCCAAGTCTTTTGGGGATTCCATTGTAGATATATTATTACCATTAAGGGTAAGATAGGATGGATCCTACCGGTACCTAGGTAAGTCTGTATTCAGCTTAAAGTTGATATCATATAAAATGTTTTGGGGGAAAAAAAATACCAGTTTGTTTTCACATCTTATTGACTAGTATAAAAAACTTATTTACAAGTACTAAAAATTTTTATTTTTTTAATTACTGTCAGTGTCAGAAGTTGAGTCATACTTTGAAGAGGGCTCTAGGTTATGAACTGGAAGGTGGGAGTGGGAATGGTTAAAGTTCAAATAGTCTTTGTCTAAACTTGATTTTTCTTATTCAAAATTTTGTAAGGGAGCAGGTATATTTTAGAGAAATTCTAGGGAATATGTAATAACTCAAAAGAAACCATTTTACTGGGAGCAAGTACACTAAAATTAAAATTCAGGCTTTGAGTGCTATTTCCCTCTCTAAAAATAAATCTCTATAACATATCAATCAATGCAGAGATTAAAAACTACATTTCTTGATCTGTACATTATAACATTTTATACTCACTCTTCAGGTTTTAAGATAACTGCACAATTTTCTATGAGTATAATCTTATACTGGTAATTACCCAATTAGATTCTGTACAAACCTAGTACTCCTGAAAGCCTTGAAAATGCGTATGTATTTTTACTGGGATGACCATGCCTCACTGTGTGCCTGTCCCTTAAATAGTTCTTTAAGAGATCTTTGCTTAAGATTCAAGCTTCTTTTAACAAATAACCTGCTTCATTTCAGTAAAAGATTTACCTTGTCTAAAATTTGCCTTTTTTCACTTTCAAAGATCAAAGAATTCCAAGGAAGTTGATAAGGATCTAACCTAATTTACAGTAACTATTGGGATTAATTCTACATCAAAGGATCAAGAATGAAATGAGGACCAACTTCTTAGCTGAGGTGTTTAAAAGGTCCAACAATCTACATGTTCACTGAGTTTAAGGCAAGGTGAAAATCGGTTCTCTTCCCATCATCCTTCAGAGTGGATAATCCCAAGATCTACTTCTCAGTAAGTAATCAGTGGTTTAAGACAGCCTCTCTGGATAGCCAAGTGACACACCAAACAAAAATCACTAGTGGTGCTTCCCCACTTCTAAGAAAAGAACATGACAGGGAAAGGCACTAGGTTATAATATTAGAGGGAAATAAACCCTAAATTTTAAGCCAATCCCATACTCTAGAAGCAGTATAAATAAGACCTACATATAGATAAATAAATAACCTTTCGTCTTAAAGGGCAAAAAAATAAATCTTTTCTAATGGAAAGATCTAGCAAAATCCCTTCTAAATTATAAGGGTCTCCCTGAACGTATCACCTAAAGGGTTAAAATCCATTTTGTGCAAAGACTGAAAAAGGACACCGTGTAATTTCTCCAGAGGTGTTCAATGTTCAAGTTTCTATACCTCTAAGCCCTGTCAATTTAACAGTTTTTCTATTCAATCCATTCCTGTAAAACTGAGCGTCAGTTTCTGACTACAGTTGGCAATCTCAAGGAATGAAACGCTTCTCCCCCTACTTCCCTCCTCCCTCGAGAGTCAAGTTTTTTTTCCTCTGCATTCCCTACTCTTAACAGTTTCAGGACGAGTAGAATGGACCGAAACTGTGGCCGCCAAAAGGTAACTAAACTCAAGAAATACTTGCCGATCGGACAAAACGGCTTCCTCCGTCTGCCTGAAACAGGGACCCCAAGCTCGGGCGGTTCAGTGGAGGGAGCCAAGCAAGGCAAGTTGGGGAACCGGCAGAGATGGGGCGAGGAGCTCTTTCGACCTCTGTCGAGGGGGCCGCCCAAGGCCCCAGCCCCACCTCCCGGGAGGCCCGGACAATGGCCCTCTAGCGCAAGCGTCCCAGGCCGGGAACAGGCCCTGGGATTCCATACCACGCGGGGCCTAGAAAGGAGGCCAGCGAGCGCACCTCCGGCCTAAGCGCGGGCCGCGCGCCGGAGCCTCCGTGGGCGCCATCACAGGGAGTGGGGTGCCGGGGCCATCCCCGGCAGCCGGGTCTGAAAAGACCGCAAGCCGGGCAGGGGCGACGGCGGGAAGTGCAGGCCGCAGCCTGCTCAGCTGTCCCGCCCAGGGGCCGGAACCCTCAGTCGACCCCCGGCCGCTTACCTTGTGGATTCTCTTCAAAGCCATCGTGGGAGGCGGGTGGCGGTGGCCCCCGGGGCGGGGGCGGGGGCAGGGGAGGGACAGGGGAAGGGGCGAGGGGACGCGAGGCCGCCTCGGTGATCGCGGGTCGGCCGAAGACAGGGAGCTCGGGAGCGCGGGTCAGGCGGGACCGACTCAGGGCCGGGGCCCACTCGGCTCCTGAGCCTGCCGCAGCGGTCACCGCATCACCCGGCGGCGGCCCCTTTACGCGCTGCCGCCCGAGCAGCCGCAGCCGCCACCGCCGCCGCCGTAGCTGTCTCCTCTTTCTAAGCTCAGCACCGCCCCTCGGCCGCCGCAAATCCCTCCGCCGGGGAGCAAAAGCCCAGGACTCAGCCGACCGGCGCCTCTAGACTGGACAGCCAGCGGGACTGCCTGCTGCAGGTGGACTGAGGGAGGGACGAGCGGGCAGCTGGCGGCGCCGCCGGGGTGGGGCCGCCGGAGCGCGGGGTGGGCCCAGGCCGAGGGACAGGTCGGGAGGCACGGGGATTGGCGGGCCCGAGGAGGGAGGGCCGGACCGCGCTAGCGGCGGAGGGATACGGGCCGCCCCTGTGAGTTTCTTACGCGCCGTCGCCGTCGCCGTAGCCGTCGCCACCGCGGCCGCCGAGGGGATGACGCCACCGAGTACGAGGAGGAGGTCTCGCGAGACTTTGGTTCGGATGGGGTGGGGAGCGAGGGGCTGACGGCTGATGGTCGTTGACCGCTGCTCTAGAGTCCCTTCCTCTTGGTTCTCCGCCTCCGCGTCATCGAATATCAATAAACGTTTAAAGGCAATTGTTTGCCAGATCACTTGACCCTCCCCATAGTATAGACCGACTCAGATGGAGCCACTTAGGCCCATTGCAACATGCCTGAAGAAGGAAGGGACCTGTCCAAGGTCACACAGCCAACAAAGGGGCAAAGCTGGGAGTTCCCAGAAGTCGATTATTCTTGTCAGAAACCTTTCCGGAAGCTCCACGGTTAACAGTCTGGTCACCTTTGGGAACGTGGTTCCTCCAGCATGCCATGGGCAGCCCTGGGATTGCTTTTCCAACAAAGGCCCCAGCTGAATGACAACTTGAAGGTCTCTCAGCCACTGGCATGTCTGTCTTAGGGAAGGTGCCAGACCAAGCTCTGCTTGGTGAATTATTACAAACACCAATTACCGCAGAAAAAAAAACTTGCAGTGTGTGATCCAGTAGCTAAAACCAACCTTATGGGTCAGATCACCATCAGGAGCAAGCCTGGAAAACATACTGGAGTTGTTACATAGGAGGTGGAGGCAAAAAGCTAATTCACTAGGCAACTACTCTGTGTTAAGCCCCACACCAGTGCCAGTGGAATATAAGACCAGGCCTGGGCTGGAAGGTGTTTTATTATTTGGCTGGAGACACACAGTATAGTAGTACAGAATATTTTCGTGGGTGGTGATGCCCACATTCTCAATTCACCCTGAGGTTTTCTGATTCTAAAGTCTGGAACCATTGATTCTAACTCCCAAATTTAGAGAGGAGAAACTGAAGCTTCCAATGGAGGATTTTGCCAAAACTCACACAAGAGGCCAGTGGCAAAACTTAAACACTGCCTCACAGAGTAGAGAAGGTTGGACCAAAATGGCAGAGCCACCGTGGACCCAGTGAGTCAAAGGTAGGAAAAATTGTATCTAGTTATTCAGAGTGGGTATGTTTGAGGTTGGAGGTGAAGAGGAGCATTCCACAGCCCCAAATCGTTTCTTCCCAAGAAATGTGATGGGAGAGATTTATTTCTCATTGGTCAGATTTTTAAAGTTTTTCTTCAACAATAACTTTTTGTGTTAGACAAGCAATTAATATTTGTTGCCAAAAATGCAGATAAGCAAAAGGAAATAAAAGTCAAACACAGTCTTTATCATCCAAGGATTAGCTGTTTTTGACATTTAGTTTATGTTCTTCCAGTCTTTTCCTTACATAAAATACATATTTTTCTTTTAAAAAATAGGATTGTGCCATAATACTATTTGGCAATCGACCCTTCTTAAAAAATACAAATATAAATAAAATATAAATACAAATTGTATATATTTAACATTATTTGATATACATAAACAGTGAAATGGTCACAACAATCAAGATTAACATCTCTTGCCTCACTTTTTCTGTGTGTGTGGTGAGAGCAACTGAAATCTTAGGTAATCTATTTCAAAAATAAACAATATATAATGAATTTTCCTGTGTCAATACAAATTTCTATCATATTTTGATGGTAACATATCCTATCATATAAATGTACCATGTTTATTTAACTGGTCACACTTCAGGGGATGTTTCTTTCCAATTTTTATTATTAAAAATATTGTCCTGTAGTTAATCTTTGTACAACTCTAAGAGTGCTTCTTTAGGATAAACTAGAAGTGAAGTTGCTGCATCAATGAGTAATCAGATTTTTGCATACATGTTCATGAGAAATATTGATTATAATTTTCTTAAATACCTTTATCAAGTTTTCATATCAAGATTATTTTGGCCTCATAAAGTAAATTTAGAACTATTCCCTCAGTGTTCTGAAAGATTTGTGTAAGATTGTTATTTTTTTCTTCTTAAGTAAATGTTTGATAAAATTCACCAGTGAAACCATCTGGTCCTGGAGTATCCTTCGCAGAAAGAGTCTGATAATAAGTTGAATTTCTTTAGTAAGTATGAGGCAGTTTAGATTTTTTTTCTTCTTGTGTCCCTTGCGACAATTTGTGTTTTCTCTATTTTGGACAAAGGAAATTATCCATTTAAGTTGTCCATTAAAATATAGTTATTCATAATATCATCTTATTTTTTCTCTACCTGTAGCATCTATAATAATGTCCTTTTTTGTGTGCCTAATGTTGGGTTTTTGTGTTTTCTCTATTTTTTTCTTGATAACTCTTGCTCTTGATTTATCAATGTTATTAATCCTTCCAAAGAACCAACTTTGACCTTGTATTTTCTCTGTTTGTCTATTTTATATTTTATTGATTTCTGCTCTTATTTTTATAATTTTCTTTCTCCTGCTTATTTTGGATATAATTTATTCTTTTTCTACCTTCTTAAAATAGTAGCTTAGATCACTGATTTTATACTTCTCCTTTTCTCTAATATAAGTACTTTCTAATAAAGCATGAAAAGCACATTGTTTTTGCTGCATCCACAGCTTTGTTTTAATTTTCATTCAGTTAAAATAGTGTCTAATTTTCCTTGTGATTTATTCTTTGACCAAGGGTTATTTACAAAGACATGGAATTAATCAGTCATCAGAGAAATGCAAATTAAAATCATAATAAGATACCATTTCATACCTACTGGAATGACTAAAATTGAAAACATTGACAACAATAAGTGATTTCAGGAAAGTACAGCAGTTGGAACCCTCATACATGGCAGGTGAGTGTAAAATGGTGCAACCAGTTTAGAGAACTATTTGGTAATATCTTGTAAAATTAAACATACATCTCCAAAAAATTGGACAACCTAGAAGAATGGACAAATTCCTAGAAAAATACAACCTTCAAGGTTGACCCAGGAAGAAACAGAAAATATGAACAGTCCAATTACCAGCAGTAAAGTTGAACTGGTCAATCAAAAACTCCCACCGAATTTCCAGGACAAGATGGCTTCACAGCTGAATTTTACCAAACATTTAAAGAGCTAATGCCCATCCTTCTTTAAGTATTTCAAAAAGTAGAAGAGGAGAGAATACTTCCAAACTCATTCCATGAGGTCAGCATTATTCTAAAACCAAAACCAGACAAAGACACTACAAAAAAAGAAAATTATAGACCAATTTCCCTAATGAATATAGATGCAAAAGTCCTCATCAAATATTAGCACACTAAATTAAAAAATATATCAAAAGGATCATCCATTATGACCAAGTGGGATTTATTTCAGGGATGCAAAGATGGTATAATATTCATAAATCAATCGATATGCACAACATTAATGAAGGATAAAAATCACATGATCATCTCAATAGATGCTAAAAAAGCATTTGACAAAATTCAACATCCATTCATGGTAAAAACTCTCATCAAAATGGTATGGAGGATACGTACCTCAATATAATAAAGGCCATATATGACAAATCTACAGCTAACATCATATACTTAATGGTGAAAAGTTGGAAGCTTTTCTTCTTAGATCAGAAGCAAGACATATTCAACATAGTAGTGGAGGTCCTAGCCACAGCAGACAACACAAAGAGATAAAAGGCATCCAAATTGGCAAGGAAGAAGTTAAATGGTCACTATTTGCAGATGACATGATATTATACATAGAAAATCCTAAAGACTCCACCAAAAAAAAACCAATTAGAACTAATAACTGGATTCAGCAAAGTTGGAGGATACAAAATTAATACACAGAAATCTGTTGTGTTCCTATGTACTAATAATGAACTAGCAGAAAGAAATCAGGAAAGCAATTCCATTTATAATTGCATCAAAAAGAATAAAATACCTAGGAATAAACCTAACCAAGGAGGTGAAAGACCTATACCCTGAAAACTATAAGACACTCATGAGAGAAATTAAAGAAGACACAAATTAATGGAAATCTATCCCATGCTTATGGATAGGAAGAATTGATATTGTCAAAGTGACCATCCTGCCCAAAGCAATTTACAGATTCAATGCAATCTCTATCAAAATACCAATGGCATTTTTCAATGAACTAGAACAAATAGTTCTAAAATTCATATGGAACTACAAAAGACCCCAAATAGCCAAAGCAATCCTAAGAAAGAGAGGCAAAGCTAAGGGTATTATGCTCCCTTACTTCAAGCTCTACTACAAACTATAGTAATCAAAACAGTATGGTACTGGCACAAGAACAGACCCATAGAGAAATGGAACACAATAGAGAGCCCAGATATAAACCCAGGCATATATGGTCAATTAATATATGATAAAGGAGCCATGAATATACAATGGGGAAAAGATAGTCTCTTCAATAACTGGTGTTGGGAAAACTGGACAGGTACATTCAAGAGAATGAAACTGGATTACTGCCTAACTCCATACACAACAGTAAACTCCAAATAGATCAAAGACCTGAATGTAAAATATGAAAACATAAAACTCTTAGAAGAAAACATAGGCAAAAACATCTTGGAACATAAGCATGATGAATTTTTTCCTCGACACATCTCCTTGGGCAAGCAAAACAAAATAGAAAATGAACAATTGGGACTATATTAAACAAAAAACCGATACAGCAAAGGACACCATCAGCAGAACAAAAAGGCAACCTACAGTATGGGAGAATATCCTCATAAACAATTTATCCAATAAGGGGTTAACATCTAAAATATAAAGAAGTCAAATGCCTCAACACCAAAAAATTGAATGACCCAATTAAAAAAATGGGCAGAGGACCTGAAGAGACATTTTTCCAAAGAAGAAATACAGATGTCCAACACGCACATGAAAAGATACTCCACATCACTAATCATCAGTGAAATGCAAATCAAAACCACAATGGCATATCACCTCACACTAATTAGAATGGCCACTATCC